AAAAATATACTTCATATGCTTGTTCTCTCAAAAATGTACAAGTCCTAACATAACTGACAAAACATCTACACTTAAGACATTTTCCTCTACTTGAAAAATTCTGTTTACGGTAGCACATTAAAAATGAGGCCTATTGGGCAAAAACATAGGAAAACTTTACAGAGTTTGTAGATGGCCCCTAGCACGGTCCACCAGGACACTAAGATGAATGCCAAGAAGTATTTTTTTTTAATCTTTCCTTCTTCCCCTTCCTCCACTCTGAAACAATCATCAATTACCCTTATCCACCGGCACCATCTCATCTGAGTTCATTTTCAAGATGAAGTTTCCGCGTCGGATGGTGGCTGTCCAATCCTCCTTCTGTCCATCACTGCCTGCCTCAGAGCTGTCCCCGGATTGACAGTTTGAGAGGGAATCAATAATAATTATCTGGCTGCAGCCATGGCGAGCTGTGTAATTCCACCAAGGAGCAGCATTGTGCAAACAGAGTTGCTTCTTGGCTCGGCCTTAAGTATGCAGGCTGGCTGTCCACTTAGGTGTGCTGGTCATGTGGCTTCCAGGAAGTAGGGCTGCTTCTCCGCTACACAAAGCCTGGCACTCAGACCCTTGCTTTGGGGGATGCCACGCAGTCCTCGGCGACAGCAGGAGGCAGTGGTTTAAAGGGGTGGGGAGGAGACACACCCTCTGCTTCAATTCTCCCTGCAGACTTTGAGAAGAACCCTGATGGGTTGTGCACACAAGCACACACGCACACACACACGAATGAAATCTCAAATACCTTTGGGTTTGTATTTATTTCATCTTGTCCTAGAAAAAAGAGAATTAATTTCTGAAATTATTTGTATTTCAATTGAAAAATCAAAATGAGTTCGGTGTAACAATGATGTTGATTTGGGAGGTACAAGCTCAGCATTTTTCATCAGAACAAGAAAATGTTGGCTTTATTGGGCTGTGTGTCCGTTTATTCTCTTTAAATCAACTTTAGCATACTTAGAAGATCTAAAAGCCATGAATAGTTCCTCTTATGATAAGCAGTGCCATTTTATTGGTCATATGTGTGGTATTTTCATATTGAAGGCAATCCTTGAGTTTTTTTCTGAGAATTTACTTTTCTTAAGAAATTAGAAGAGGGGAAGATCTTGGGGGGGAATAGCAATTTTTAATGGGACTCAGTAAAAACTAAGTTTGTAAACCAAGCCATCCTTCCTTCCTTCCTTCCTTCCTTGCATCAACAATCAACCAGATGGTCCAATAAACTACCTACCTTTCTTTACTAACAACCTCCTACTCATGGGGCATATATGCATATATGCATCAAATCAGAATCTTGTCCTTGTAGAACTTGAAGGCAAAGGAGATAAGACATGGACTACTAATTAGAGCCCCTTGACCTGGGGAGGCAGTATTAAATGCCAAGCAAAACCACAGACAAAGCGGCAAAGGGTTTCAAAGCAAGGGCAGAGACTTCCATTGAGGGGCTCATATTAGTAGCTAAACCACTCTGTGATCAAAGTGCTCACCTGCAATTTTGCAATAAATTAATCAACTGTTCAGAAACTAGGGAGCCAATTAAAAGACAGAGGAAAAATGAAGTACTGGTGAGTTCAAAGATGGGACACCAAAGCATAAACAGTGCACATAGTGGGAAATCTTGCAAATGACCTTGGGTCACACAGTGCAATCTAGGTTTTGGAAGGCAATGAAGAAAACCCTATCATGCTCTATAGGAAAATATTCTTCATATTTGCAAGCTCTCTGTACCGAGTTGAACGGCAGACATTATTCTGTTTAATTTGAGGATCTAAGGCTTGTAGTCTCTAGCTCCTGCAGGAAGACGTGGATTTCTTAAGTTCCCATTGCAGGCCCTTTCTGGACTTTTGTGGCCTTCCTTGATGGCGGAGTTCATTTGTTCTCTGGCACCAATGACCAGAAGAGCTAGAGGATCCTTTCAGGTGTCCAAGATGCCTTGCCAGGCACCTCCTGGAGAGGTGAGAGGATAAAGATGTCCACTGTGACCACATGCCCTGGACAGGTCAGCCTCCCTTTGGCCCAGCTTGGCCACATACTTCTAGAGAGATCCAGGGAGCCCTGTGCTAAGGTGGAGTATTTCTGGTACCCTTGGATTCCTGGCCAGTTATCAGGGAATTGAGTGTGAAGCAACTTATACTCTGGAGCGAAGAACAGGGGAAGTGAGACCAAAGCTGTCTGTGGCGCGCTCTGCCGGGCTCCGCGCCCTCACCACACCTCTCCTCGTGGATGGGGGAGGGCAAGTGGCTTGCAGTGGGAATAGGATTGGAGTTAGATTATCCCACCTCTGATGCCAGGCGTACCAGGCTGCCTGTTCCACCCAGGGTGAAGGAGAGGAACGAATACACAAAATGGTTAATTGGAAAAGTTGGGATGGGTTCAGGAGGGCGGGGAGAAGTAGGTGTGGCCTTGGGGAGTGCTGGGGTGAGCAGCTGGCTTGGCAGGAAGAGTGGCCAGGGTGGGGGTGGCAGCAGATCCAGGCTGGCACAGAGTGCGGACCAATGGCCTGACCCTTTAGCCCCCCTGATGCGCACCACCCAGGACCCTGCTCCTCAGCAATGATCTGCCGCTGCATCTTAAGATTCTCAGTGACTTGTCAGCAAGGTACCTGGTGGCCTCGTCTTACACTGGACCCCAGAGATGGATGGCGCGTCTGTCCAGTCCGCTCTCCCTCGGAGCTGCATGGTGACGTGTCACTGGGAGGGACTCAGGCTGTTGGCAGTGGCGGGGGAAGCAACCCTGACCACCCAGACCTGTGATGCTTCAGACCTGTGCCCTCAGGGTGGCTCTCTTCCCGAAGTGAGCTCTTTTAGGAGTAAGGTCTGTTCCTGAATCATTCAGGACTACACAGTACCTGTCCTGATGCCTAATGCAGGGTTGAAGAAACAACTGATTGATCAAAGAACCAAGTAGAAGTTTGTTTCTTAATAGTTTTATTGCCACCATCATTGTAACGCACTGCTCTGCTTCATGTGGTTTGCTGTGCTCGGGGAATGTGCGTGCTTTCAAGACTTTGCGTGGGAGAAAGGAACGAATGCGAGAAAGACACAAAGAAAACCACATGAAAAGGTGGCGACGTGGTGAGTTATTTCTTCCTGGCTGCTTTCAACACTTCATGCGACGCACCCCACACTCTGTTCCCAAGAAGAGCCAGGAGGGGCCTCCAGGCTGACGGGCAAGACTTTGGCGACCGTGTGCTGCAGAGGTGTCACACACGAGGTGACATTGCTGGGTACCCGGGGAACGCCACCCGCCTTCTTGGTGCATAAATTCCTGCGACTGTAAGAGAGAAATAATAAAAGGGCCTCGTACGGAAGGGTGGGGAGGGTGGACTGAGTTAGGTGAGGATGAAATAATCTAGATCAGTGATGGAGAACCTTTTAGAGCTTTCAGTGATACACACAGTCTGCCGAGGCAGATGCGCCATAGCTTTGCCACCACAGGTGTATATCAAGCAGTTAGGCTGGTCCTGCGCCCGGTGACCACTGCAGGGTGACAGTGACGGCCCTGGCTGGAGTCTGAGCACAAGTGCACATGCTGGCCCAGGGTGCTGTGCACAGCCATGCCCTGTCTCTCGGTCAGTCGGGCCTCTGCAGCCCACTGTGTCAGTGCGAGGTTCCAACAGTCAAATACGCGGGAAACACGGCTCCACACCTCTGTGTCGTCGGAGCAGAGAAGCAGAACCGGCTCGCCCGGGCCCGGTGCCGTGTGGCTGTGAGAGGCCTGCAGAACCCTCTGAACCGCGTGTGTTCTGGTATGCAGAGCGCCTGTGCTTTAGGGTCACTGTGAGGAGTGAGGGAGAAGGAACATAACGCCAAGGCCCTCCCTGGCTCCCCAGCACTAACAACCTTCTCGCTGTGTTTCATCGTCACTGCCGCTCTGGAGACAACCGGGAAGCTCCTGCTCCTCTCCTGCCCCGAGGTACCAACTTCCCGAGAGCCAGTGACTAGTAAAGGACAGAGATGGGACCCGGAGCCCCTTCTCCTGTGGCTGAGCCCCTGTCCCCGTGCATTTCTCCACATCAGAGCGTCACCAGCTCCGGTCCACAAAGCTCACCAAGAAGAAACTACTTCCTGGTCCTCCCAACCCTGCCACTGGCCCCAGGTCCTTTGCCTCCTGTGGGAAATGTCCCAGGTGGCGAGTCCTCCCTTGGCCACCTTAACTGTCTAGCCCAGGTCAGGTGTCACTCGCAGTAAGGGGAGGCTGAGTCGGGAGATCCTAGGGCCTCTGACTCTGGGGTTTGTCCACAGAGGACTCAGGACTGCCTCTGACTGTGGTGGGGACACCGCGGGGCTGAGAGCTGACGCAGGTGGGACGCTGTCTGTGGTCCTGACAGTCTCTTGGGCCACCTTTCGTGGCTCCCGCCTCTGCCTCTCCACTCTGCATGGCTGCTCTTTCTGTGTGGGGGAAATACAAAGCCTAGTGACCCCTCCCTGGTTAGCAATGCAAAAAGAAACCATGTTCAGAGAGAGCTTCATGCTTCCAAGGTGGGTGGAAAACGTTGGGGTCAGGCAAACAGCTCAAGGTCAGATGCGGCATCTAGCATTTCTCCCTGCGGGCTGGAGGCCTGTGTACCAGGAAGGCACCCTGGCTGGGTTTGAATTCTGGCTTTATTTCCGTAGCTGTGTGATTTGGGGAAAGCACGCCAGCCTTTGTCCTGTTTGTAAAATAGAAATAAGAACGCTCTTACTTTGTAGCAATGTTGTCAGGATAAAAGGTCGTAGGATACACAGAATCCCTGGCATTGTGCTCGGCAGCTCATAGATGGGTCGGTAGACACTAGCTCTGTTTCACAAAGGGACGGAGCTTCACAGTGTCCATGTATAAAAATGCACGTGTGTATGTGTGCGTGTGTCTGTGTGTGTGCATGCATGCCAGAAAGCAAACTGCATGAGTTGTAATTTTGGAAAATACGTGACTAGGTGAATAGAAACTTGGCATAGAACGAAGAATAATGCGCCTTGTGCCCACAGCTGGAGATGTGACATCGGTCAGTGCGTATACAAAGTGTCGACCTGACCCAGAGGAGGTGGCTGCCCCTGTACTGACCAAGCCACGCTGGCCTTGGAGAGACACATCACCCTGCTCAGGAGGCCGGAATCGTGGCTCTTAATGGTGATCTGTGGATAAGGTGAAAGGCTTCCAAGATGTTTTGGATATGGCCACGAGTTCAGAGATGGAGCCGATTCATACAGAAACTCGTGACACACGGGTAGGAATTATGTCTTCAATCATATCTTCAGAAGCTGGCCCCGTGAGTGTCAAGCTTTCCGCCCTGCCCGGTGGCTTTCAGGGAGATGGTCCGGGACAGATTGTGGACCTGGTATCCTGAGCGGGCAGTAGCCCTGTGCAGCGATTTTAAAGACACTCATGTGTCTAATGAAATTCTAGTTTTCTCTGTCCTTTCTTCCAGAAATTTGAAATTGAGTATAGGAGGTTTGAATTCTAGTCTTTGGGAGAAAATAAGGTAAAAAGTTCCATGCAGTTATATTGGAATACTTGAATGAAAGCCCATTAGAAATATAGTTGCAGAAAAACTGTAATGGTCACATGAAGTAAAGTTTTGGGCCATTTTTTTTTTAAAGTAGAGAAGTGTGAGATAGACATGTTGCTTCAGATTTAGCTGGAAAATGGATTATACTTGTTTTATCCAATGTAAACTTTCTCCCCACATTTCACTGAAGTTAATGATTTCATGGTTTAACCTATCTAGTGTTTCCCGTATTTCCAACCATTCATCTATTTCACAATTTTAGAGAAGGTGTATATATTTTAAGTAGGTGTGTATGTGTAACAAATCAGCATCAAACTCAAAATTAAATCAGGAAACGGGGCTAATGGGTGCCTGAGTGAAATCAAAAGCACTCTACACTGTTTCCTTTCCAGAATGTGATGGGCCGTGAGACCTTTGGCTTAGTACACAAACAGAGGAGATGGGGAAGAGAAATGCTGGCATTTTACACAGTTTATCTTCCATTATTGTATTTAATTTTTAAAAGGACATGGGAACCCTTTGGGAATTCTATCGCAGCCTGCAGTTCTGCTACCAATTCCACATTTTATTTCTAGTTGATATAGTGATAAAATGTAAAATGCCTGAAAATAAAATAGTATTGAAAACTTGCAAGGACAAGCATCCCTTTATAAATGGAAGAGAGACATTCCTGGAAGAAAATGTCTATATTTAACTCTTTAAAACCATCAAAACTGTAGTAATCAGAATCTACTACCTATTCTAGGGGTGTGCTTGGAACGCAATCTCAGAGGCCAGGAGGGCAGCGCTTAAGATTCATGGGCTTTTCCTGGGGTGGTTGCTGGTTGTGGGGAGCTGGTCACTGGTATAGACAGGAACTGGGGAGAAGATGAGACAGCCTGGACCTCTCCAAGCTCGGATCCACTCGAGCGGCCCACGTTTCTGCTTAGCTGGTCTCTTCCTCCCTTCCTACAGCCCTTGCCCAGGGCCCGGCCGGCTCCTCCTGGGCTGAGGAGTGACGGGGCAGGGAGCTGCTGCAGACCTCCACCTCCTGGCTCAGTATGGCTCAGAGTGAATGTATCTCACACAGCAAATGATATTTCTCCAACTGCAAATGGAAACTTCATTCCAGAGCAGATCCAGCAGGATTTGGAGGCCATAATGTTAATGAAATAAGTCCAACACAGAAAAATAAATATGGCATACATCATAGTTTGGATCTAAGATGTCCCGCCTCTCAGGTATTCAGAGGTGGGGCTCTGGAAGGTGAGTCTGTCCTGAGGTCCATATAGCTGACTCTCTGATAGGAGATGGGGCTTTGTTGTCCAGTTGGGAGAGGTGGGCTGCCGGCTGTGACCCGGAAGAGTTTCTCTCCCTCCCGGGAGTTTCTCTGTCTGTTTCTTGCCCACAATGGTGTGAGCAGCTGTCTTCTGCCAGACCCTTCTGCTGTGTGGTTCTGCCTGGAGTTGGCCCTCTGTGAACTGAGACCTGATTCAAAGTAAACCTCTTCTCCTGGAAGTTACAGGAGTTGAGCACTGCACCCTAGCCATGAGGCAAGTGACAGAGAGAGCAGGTTCTCTTACATAAGAAGGCAGACTTTTTGAAGAAGGAGAAAGAGATCAGAACAGGGGAAAGCAGACAGGGAAGAAAAGAGGATCAAAAATGACCTAGATATTTTAATGATTCCAAGTCCAAACCTCGTGTAAGTAACATGTATTACAAACACATAGCAGTGCGTTTAAAAACCCACAGCAGGACACACGGCCCCTCTTTCACCTCCCAGCAGCTACCTCTCCCGGCCTGCGTGCATTTCCTTTACCTTCATGTGTTCAGGCTGAGCAGCACCCCAAATCTTCAAACCTAGTCCCCTCTTTCTAAAGAAAGCCCAGTGCTGCTTGTCACTTGGGGAAGTAGACAGGTTGCAAGCTGGTGTTTGGATGCTTTGGTTTTGCTTCTGATGCTTTTGGTTTTTGCCTGCTGGGCAAGTGCTCACCTGAGTCCCCCTCTGGGCCCTTGAGTGGGTGCCCTGCGTCACCCTGGGATGTGCAAAGACCTCTTCGGTGCTGGATCTTCAGTCAGGTGCCAGCATCCTGCCAGGCTTCTGTCCTAGCTTTTCGGTTGATACAATTTGTCACACAGAAGCTATGCGACTCCCTTGAACAGGTTAAGCACACAGTGCAGAAGAGGAGCCGTGGTAGGAATGCTCAAGAGTGTCCATCATGGCTGTCCTGCTGTCCCAGCTGCATGGCTGTGGGGTGTCCTGGAGAGTTTCCCACCCAGAAGTGACCAGGGCATCACAGGCAGAGATGTGGGAGGACTTTACTGGCCACAGGAGCCCACTTGCCTCCTCTCCCTGCCACAGTTGTTCCACGTCTTAGAGACTGTGGTGTGAACCGGGCTCTTCTGGCCACCGCTCCCTCCCTCAGCCCTCCAGGGTCACATGTGTGCTCCGGAACCCCACAGCGTGAACGATCCCAAAGCACGTTTTTCTGAGTACTGAAGAAGAACATCTTCCATTCACTAAGTGGCAGGCGTATACATTTGCTGAACAGTCTACCAACACACTGGATGAATTCTCCTCCCAATAAGTTAAACTCGCTGGCTATCTCTCTTTATCTGTAGAAAAGCTGCCCAGGATTGTCCCTTTTGTAGACACAGACTGGACCTAACTGTAAAAACTACCACAGACATCCCATAGTCAAGGGTCATACAGAATTCTACTTCAAAACCACGATCAGAAACAGGGCCAACACGAAAACCCTTCCGAAAAGCTGTTTATGATATAAAGCATTGTGAGGCGTAGGTGTATTAACTGCTATTTTAAAATTTATATTTAATGGTATTTCTTTCCTTAACAAATAGAGTTCACAATTCTCATTAGCACACTGTAGCTTGTTAACGTCCCATAGGAAGGAAGCCTATTAAACTCTCCCTTGCTCTGGTGCCGCCCAAGATAATCGGCAATGGGAGAATCAGGGCCTGTGTGGGGTTTAGATTCCAAAGAAACAGGTGCCCCACAAAACCCAGCGTGGTGAATAGTGATCTAAGGTGATTTTTGAAAAGAAGTAGTCACACCCAGTGCCTTCCATCTGCAGATACCAGTTTAGCGCAAGGTAGCACCCCGACAAGCAGCCAGAATAGCTGCGCTGCAGACTTTCTGCACAGCTACCTGGCTCTGACATTTGCCTCCTAGGGAAAACAAACAAAAACAGAGAAAATCATTTTTAGAAAAAAAGTGCCTTTGTATTCTGGCTTAGATCTTAGATAAATGGAATGTTTACACCACTGTACCGCATTTATCTGACAGACACATAGTTATGTACCAGGCAAATAGAACCGCTGTACAAATACCAGTAACATAATATTTGTAGCAGTGCTGGAAACTAGCTCGGACCTCAGGCTCCTAGGTGAGGAACTACAGCACCTGAGGTTTAATCGCAATGAGTGGTAAAGCGTAGTTTAGTCCCAGGTCGCTGGAGAGCAGGGTGTGCATTCTCCCCCATTGGGCTTCCCTGGGCTTCCCCCCAGACCACCGCTCACGTAGGCTTCCCTTCCCCGAGCAGGCCTCCCTCCCCCACTGTGCTGTCCCTGGAGCTGAGCCTTGAGCGTTCGCCAGTGAGCTTCCCGCTAGGAGGAATCACACACCTCCCATCTCTCCCTTCAGCGGAGCCGAAGTCTGACATTGTCCTGGTGGCTTTCCCAGTCTTTCCCTTCTTATTCCCTTTTCCTGGAGTCTGGATGTGGATCACCTTCCGCCTTTGTATACTCAGTCAGCCGGAGAAGGAGGCCAAGGGGCTGGCAGGAAGCCTCGCTGAACTGAGTTCTTGAGGTGGAGGCGGAAGACCTCAGACCAGCCACGGGCCTCCCTGGGCCCAGGCCCTCAGCTGTGATGGATGCGAACAGAACTAAGTATGTGTGATACTGCACATGGCCTAGGCCATTGGGCTACCTTCTTTATTACAGAATAGGAAAACTGGAAGCTTGGAGACCCCAAGCTGTGTGGCTTCTCCTGCGCTTGTCCTGATCCTTCTCAGGGTGTGGACAGGAAGAACTCCTTCCTTTTCTAGTCACATACGGAACTTTGGGCCGTCGGTTGGCCAGTTTTTCCACACAGACCAATTACCCAACACCAGCTGATGTCCCGTGAATTAGCATGGTTCTGACACCAACTGCCCAGTGTCGGTGCAGCTCCCCAGGACAAGGGCTCAGTCCCCCGAGACTGCGCCAACTTAGATATCAGCTGGAAATGGGGGCTCCAAGCCCGAGTTCCCACAGCTTCTCACTCAACACAGCAGCCCACAGCAGTGAAGGGAGATTTACACGGTGGGTCATGTGTGCACAGTGAGAAGTCACCAGGGTTGTGGGGAGGAGCACAGCACATCTGTGATGTCCCCAGGTGCCACGGCAGGCACCTGTGCTGTCTGGCAGCCTGGATACCCTCTCCCCATGGCTGGCGATCCTTATGGGCCTGACCAATTACTAATTCAAACTTCAGCCCCTCTGCCTCTCCTGGAAGACAAGGGTAGAACAGGAAGTTCCAACCTGCTAATCAAGGCTTGGTCTCTCTGGTGACCAGCCCCTCCCAGGAGCCCAAGGGTCCCCTCACTAGGAGACAATGCTCCAGTCACCCGGGACTTCCAAGGAATTGGGAACTCTGTGTAGGGAATAGGGAGCAAAGACCATCAGGACCAAAGATGCCCCTTAGTCTTTTGGAAACTGTAAGGGAAGCTTGGTGCCAGGTGGGGGCATGCGTGTTTTACTGTGTCGCAAGTTTGATAGAAAGATTCCACTACTAAGGAAAAGTCCTCAATAAGGAGGCTGTGATCAGGGACTCTGAGGGTCCTTGGTCCCTCCTTATAAACAAATTACCAAGCTTTGTAGCTGTCACTCAAGACAGTTACTCTTCTAGGATGTCCCAACCCCTGAGTTTTTGAGTAAAGACTGTCAGCACGTTGCCAATAGACTAGGCCAGGGTGCTGGGCCCAGCAAGGACCTAACAATAATGGTGACTTCAACTCACCTCAGCCTGGGAGATTTGCCCACTGAGGCATCTAGCTGGTGGCATTCCTGGGACTCCGTGCTGTGGGAGGCAGCAGGCAGCCCGAGAAGAGCTACAAAGAGCGCCCCTGACTGTCGCTGTCCTTTCAGTTCCATGGTGAATTAGCGATGGGGACATTCATGGCTCATGTGTTTATTGAACAAGTGACTTGCTCTGTCTTTTCCCAAAACAGTCCACTAAGAATCTAAATGTCTGTAAGTCTGTCAAAAACTAAAGGAAAGATGAAACAGTGAGCTCAGAACATCAGGGTGGAGTATTTCAAGGTGCCAAGATGCACTGAGCAGCATATGACAAGTGACAGAACCGTGTTAATTCGCAGGACATCAGCTGGTGTTGGGTAATTGGTCTGTGTGGAAAAGCTGGCCAACGGATGACCCAAAGTTCCGTATGTGACTAGAAAAGAAAGGAGTTCTTCCTGTCCACACTCTGAGAAGGATCAGGACAAGCGCAGGAGAAGCCACACCACTTGGGGTCTCCAAGCTTCCAGTTTTCCTGTTCTGCAGTAAAGAAGGCAGCCCAGTGGCCAA